TATAGAGATTTGTTTAAAAAAGGGTTAGGTCAAGTGAAATTGTCGAGAAATGTTTGTTTTCCCTATTTCCCTTGGAAACTAGACTCTTTTGGTCGTTGTCTAGCGTCTACTTTACGCAATAGTTATTTCCTTTATAAACATTAGTCAACATAGCAGCCAATTCCCCTCATCTTCTTTGAATCTTCCTGGACGGAGCCTCATGCTTGATGCTCAAACTTGATGGTGTTTTTAGTTTCTGATAAATAGAAGCAAAGGGAACTGTCTCAAACACCAGCTTGAGATATCTTCCTCTTCCACCTTCTCCTTATGTCGTCGTTACCATCATCATCATCATCTTCTTCTTCTCGACAGAAATATGATGTTTTCTTGAGTTTTAGAGGTGAAGATACCCGCAAAAACTTCACTGATCATCTATATGCTGCTTTAAAAAAGAATGGAATCGAGACTTTCAAGGATGATCCAAGGCTTGAGGCCGGAGAAGAAATCGCACCAGAACTCTTGAAAGCAATTCGAGAATCATGGAGTTCACTAATCGTTTTCTCAAAAACGTATGCTTTTTCAAGTTGGTGCTTGGACGAGCTTGCTGAGATTGTTGAACAGAGAGAAAAGAGGGGGCATAAAATTTTCCCAATTTTTTATGATGTGGATCCATCTGATTTGAGAAAACAAACAGGAAGAGTTGCTGAAGCCTTTTCCAAACATGAAGAGAGATACAAGGGAACTAAAGACAAGATCCAAAGATGGCGAACTGCTTTAACTGAAGTGGCTAATATCAAAGGATGGCATTTAAATAACAGGTAACTCATTCTTTTCTTGGCTAGTTTTTGTTTTTAATCACCGCAATTTTTTTTTTTCTTTTTTGCAGTTGTATACTTTAAAAAACTTTTTTAATATTGCGTTTTATTGTTGAATTTCATTTAAAAAACATAGACTTCATTCTTATTCCTGCTCTGTTTTTCGTCTCAAACTGTATTAGGAATAAAATCTTGTCTCTTCAAAATAAAGTGACCACCATGTATAATGTTTTGTTTGAAATAATAAAAAGAAAAGAAATTTATTTAAGAAATATTTTTTGTGATGAGATTGCGAGTTATAATGTACTTATATATTAATCATTTATGAAAAATAAAATCATAAATAATTTTTTAAAAACTTGAAATACATTTGGTAATGATTTTTTTTTGTTTTGACTCAATAAATAATTCTTAGGACACAGATTATTGGGCTAATGTCTCTAAAAATGCTTTATAAAAGTTACTTTAAAAAAAAGAAGATTCCAACAGTTCAATTTTGACTTTAAGACAAGTTCATATATAACTCATCTTTAAAAACTCATATTCAATATTTTTTTTCCTTTAAAAATTTATATTAAATACATCAAAATCAACATTTTTTTTAAATTTAATAAAAAATAAAAGGAGTGACAACTAACAATTTAACAATGAAAGACTAATAATTGTATTAGTATTAGATTAGTATGATTTATTTGGGTTTTCTCATTTCCCTCTAAACAAAACCCAAATAAATCATACTAATAAATTTTGAGGTACATATAGAGGTTTTTAAGTAGATTTGTCCGTGAATCAAGTGAAGTCCAATTATTATTTAGAGTCTCTTACCCAAGGCAAGCTCGATTATTATTCAAAAATTTTAAAAATATTGAAAAATTCTTTATATTAATACGTTATATATTTTAAAATTAAATTTAAATAAAATAATTCTTCTCATTAAACAATGATACGAGTCAAACACGAACTTCAAAATTCTTGTCAAGGTTCAGTTTGAGATGAACCTGGCCTATGGGTAAAGTATGTAATTCCATCTATGACTAAGTCTACTTTAAAAGTATCCTAAATTTGTTTGGTTAAAATTATTGTGCTTTTATTTTTTGATTCTTTAATTTCTAGGCTCATTTATCATCATAATCATTTTCATTAGTGATTAATTTCTTAAGTAGAAACTAAATTTAATTTCTCTTTTTGTGTTTGAAGACATGAATCAGAATTTATTGGAGATATTGTTAAAAAGATATCAGCAAAATTATGTCAAACATATCCGATTGGCCATGATGAGTTTATTGGAATTAATTCACGGTTGGAAAAGTTGCATTTGAAAATAGACATTGGTGAAGATGATGTCCGCATTATTGGAATTTGTGGTATGGGCGGCATTGGTAAAACTACTTTTGCAAAAGTTGTTTATTCTCAAATGTCACCTCATTTTGAAGGTAAAAGCTTTCTTGCTGATGTTCGAGAAGTTTCAGAGAAATGTGGACTTGTTTCTTTGCAGAAACAACTTCTTTCTCAGATATTGCCAGAAGAAGGTTTTAATCTATTCAATGTTCATGAAGGGAATGCCATGATTAGTCGCAGGCTATCTCACAAGAAGGTTCTTGTTGTTATTGATGATGTTGATAACTTTCAACACTTAAAATGCTTGGTTGGGAGGCGAGATTGGTTTGGTTTAGGGAGCAGAATCATTGTAACAACAAGAGATGAACATTTGCTCCAATCCTATGGAATGGATGATGTGTATAAGCCTCCAACATTGGATGATGATGAAGCACTTCATCTTCTCAATTTGAAAGCTTTCAAGAGTGATACAGTGCCAGAGAATGATTTCATTGAGCTTTCTAAACAAGTTGTAGCATACGCTGGTGGTCTTCCCCTAGCTCTTGAAGTTATCGGTTGTTTTTTGTGCGGTAGAGATGCAGCTCAATGGAGAAGTGCAATTGAAAGACTTCAAAGAGATTTTGACAAGGAAATTCATGACAGACTTCTAATAAGCTTTGATGGATTAGAAGAAACAGAGAAGAACATTTTTCTAGATATTGCATGCTTCTTTAAAGGGGGTGAGAAAGATTTTGTAACTAACATACTAGATGGTTGTGGTTTCTTCGCAGAAATTGGAATAAATCGTCTCATTGAGAAGTCTCTCATAAAAGTTTGGGGCAAATTTTTGTGGATGCATGATTTGCTACAAGAGATGGGAAGAAAAATTGTTCGACAAAAATCACTTGATGAACCTGGAAAACGTTGTAGATTGTGGGAGGAAAATGATGTTTATCATGTTTTAACAAAAAATACGGTAAGTTATTCCATAAACATTTCATATTTATTTATTTATTTAGAATCTTGACTTTACTCAACATGCAAAAGTATATACCAAGAAAATTTATTAGCCAGGTAAGTTATTAGTATGACATTAAGATTTTGTAATTAAGATAAAACCAAAAATTTGAGATTGCATACTAATATTCTTGAATATATGAAAGAATAAAACTAAATAATTGCAAATAATAAAAGTAAGACTACTTAAGTGTATATTTTATTGTAGTTTTATAGTTTTTTATTAAAGTTATAATCATAAATAGGTACTAAATTCATATAAGAATAAAATAAAAATGGATAATTAGACCAATAAATAAACCTGCATATATAGCTATACATCAAATCCAATATAAAATTGGATTAAATCATATATGATAAAACTTAAACATGAAAGTTTAAAAGTAAGCAACTTTCTTGCTATTGAGACAATGTTTCATTCATATTATTTTAAAACTAAATTATGAATTTTTTATTTAAAATTATCTTGTTAGTTTAAATAAAGGAAAATTTCCTTTACTATAAACTTTGTTGAGAATTAGCATAACTATTAAATCCAATGCAAGAAACTATTATGTATTATGGTCTCCTATATTTCATCTTCTTGAAATTTAGCTATTAATATTTTACAGCATTTACTTTTCGCCCCCTTATGCCTTACTTTTGATTTTTAGGCTACCGACGCAATTGAGGGCATGATCATCGACAATAAAGGGTAAAAAACAAACACACACGTGTATCTATGTGTATATTATATATTATTATTTGATCTTAATTTGTCTCATTTAATTGAATTATTATTACTACAACATATATATTATCAATATTTTGTCCTAATTTGCATTTTTTTATGTAGTTTTAGTTGTCGGACTTGAAATACCAGCATTCTTACCCATTACATTATCTCATCCTCTCATTTTTAGATTTGAAAATTGATTGTATTAACTAAAAAAGTTGTGTTTCAAAAAGAAGAAAACAATGATAGATACGAGTGAATGTTGATTCTTGCCTTTTGTAGGTGTTGAAAGCTTCAGTATTTTGAAGCTTATTTTTGTTTTGCCCTTGGTTGTCAGGGAACAGAACAACATGTTCACTTTGAATGCTGATGCCTTCTTGAATATGAAAAAATTAAGATTGCTCAAAGTCTTTTATCTCCCAGTTACTCGAGATCTCAAATATCTTTCAAATGAGTTACGGCTTTTAGATTGGAGTGGATATCCTTTCAGATCATTGCCATCAAGCTTCCAACCAGACAACCTTGTTGCACTTCTCCTACCTTATAGCCACATTGAACAACTATGGAAGGGAGACAGAGTAAGAATTACTTCATTCTATATTGGTCTTTTTGTTTATTTAGACGAATTATAAAAAAACTTTTTAATAAGATATGAAAATAACCAAAAAAAAAAAAGAGTTTTCCAAAGTTTTCTTTATTTTTTTTCTCTCTAATTTATTGTTGTTGTCAACAGACTTTACCTAAATTGAAATTAGTCAACCTCCAAGGCTCCAAAAACCTGATCAAAACGCTAGACTTCACAAGGGCTCGATATCTCGAAAGTTTGATTTTGGAAGGTTGTTCCAGAATAGTAGAACTTCCCTCTTCAATTGGACATCTCAGCAATCTTGTTTTGTTAAATCTGAAAGATTGCAGTAACCTCGTGAATCTCCCAAGCAGCATAAATGGGTTGAAATGTCTTAAAACTCTTAATCTCTCTGGCTGTTCTAAAGTTGAAACTTTACCAGAGAATTTGCAGCATGTAGAATTTTTGGAGGAGCTTGATTTAAGTAAAACTGCCATAAGAAAACCTCCATCCTTCATTTTTCAATTTAAAAGTCTGAAAGTTCTTTCTTTCAATGGATGCAAGGGACCGCCATCAAAAGGACGACTGAATTTGCCTTCTCTTTTCAATGTATTGCAAAGAAGAAGCTCGGATTCCATGGCTCTGATGTTGCCTTCTTTGTCAGGTTTGAGTTCTATAAAATACCTGAATCTAAGTGACTGCAATCTTGGGGAAGGAGCTATTCCTAGTGATATTGGGTGCTTATCCTCTTTGGAGTCACTTGATCTTAGTGGTAACCATTTCGTCTACCTACCTGCAACTCTTAATCGACTTTCCAAGCTTGATCGTCTTAAATTGTCAGATTGCCGGGAGCTTAAATCTTTGCCTGAGCTTCTTCTAACAGATAAATATCCAACAGGAGAACCGAATTTAACAATTTGGGGATATATTGCTGGTTTTAACTGCTACAAATTGGCTAAGAAAAACAATACTTTAACAATGCTAAAAAATCACCTTAAGGTTGGTATCCCTCTATGTCACTAAATCTCACTCTCTAAGATTTATTGTATAACTTGCCAAACAACGAGCGATTTTTTTTTTTTTTACAGGTATCTAATAAAGCAGGACGATTATTCGATATTTTTATACCTGGAAGTGAAATCCCAGAATGGTTCTGCCATCGGAGGGATGAATCTTCAATAAAGATACCAGTGCCTCTTAATATTGGACATGATAATCAGTTGATGGGAGTTGCTTTCTGCTGCGTTTTTGTCTTTGCCTCCACCGATGATTATGATCGTTGGAAGAGAATCTCCTGTAAAGCTGTTAACCATGGTAGAAATATTCGAGATTTGGATGATATTTTCTATAGTTTTGATAGAGAAGACAGGTTGCCTTTGGACATGGAGCACCTTTGGCTACGTTATTATTCTCGTGACATGATATTTCCGTTCTTGAGTTCGTCTAGCACAGATTGGGCAAATCAAGAATGCAATGAAATTGAGTTCTCAACCAGAGCCACTCCAGGGCAAGTGAAGAAGTGTGGTGTTCAAATAATGTATGAGAAAGATTTGGAAGTGATGGAAGAACTACAAGAGCAACACAACAGTCCAACAAATTCTGCAGATCTTAACGATATCCATTAAAACGTTGGTGGTGATGAAGGGTCAGCAGGGAACGGTGGTGTCCTTGTAAAACGAAAACGTAAAATCTACGAGGAGGAAGGAGGACCAATTGATGAGAGTGACAGCCTTGAAGAAAGACCACACCCAAAACGTCTGGAAAAAATTTTAAACTTTATGGTGGGGAAGAAACTTTCTGGTAAACTTCTAAATACTAATCATTGGACTTGAATGAATCCTTTCATTTATTTACATGCTAATCAATAAAATAAGAGGATTTCACTATTTTTTATAATTTCTTATAAATCTAATTTGCATTATTTCTATTTGTTTTTTTTTTTAGATTGAAAGATAATAATCATCAACTGAAATAAAATAATAGGGACAAACTCCATAAAAAGGCAAGGAAGATGAGAAAGTGAAATCCTTTGATGTCGCTTGGAGCATAATCATCTTATCTTTGCTTTAAAGAGTGTTTTACTTTGATTTAGGGAAAGAAGATTGCATCCTGTTTTTTGATTTGGTATCTTGAAAAATGAGATCATATGTAATTTTTTTTCCCAAGGATTATATAGAAATTTCATTTCCCAAAAATAAAATAGTCAAGGGAATTATAAATTGTGCTGCCTACTAATAAAGAAAACATGATATAAAGTATAACAAAGGTATAAATTAATAAACACAATAACAAATATTAAAATATTGTTTAAATATAAGCGAACTAGGTCTAGGATTTCTATTCAAGCTTAAACAATTTATTCTTTAAATTTTTTTTACAAAGGATGTTGTAGCTTAGAGATAAAAGGAGTTATAAATGTCGAAATTTAAAATCTAAATTTGCCAGATATCATCTTTTAAAAGTAATTAGTTAATTGAATAAATTAAGTTAAACTTTAAGTTCTTATTCCTATCCTCCTGGTAAGCAGCTTACCAGGATGAACCAAGTTTCACAATCGGCTATTAAAGTCTAGTAAATCTTATTGAAACTTCTTATTGATGGCAATTATTTCACCCATTGAGCAACGTAGAAGTTGGATTAAGATTAGATAGTGACAGAATTCATGAACTGTTCATTTGCCAAGGCCTGCAATGTTTCAGGTAAAAGCAAGTGTCAATGTCCATAATTCCTCCTTTAGCTCCACTATACTTTGTTACCTTCCCATCATGCCTGTTCCCACCCCCACTTAGAATTGCAATTGGCCTTCCCCATCCAAAGTCAATGCTATAATAATCAAACCAAGTTGAACCACCCAAGACCAGAAGATTGTTTATACTCCTTGCTAGGCTTCCTGTCACTAGAACAGGAATTTCCTTTCATAATTTTGAGAAATTCGTCATCTTTTCCTCAGACTGTGAAGCAATAAACTTGTTCATTTGCCATGCTACATTGCCTAGCCCATGTTCTTGTAGCTCCATGATTTTCATGGTTATAAGTCCACCTCGCATCATATTTCGAGTATATTGTTCAGGCAGCTGGTGCAATCTTGATTTTGCACCAACTGCTAGGAAGAAATTAGTCTCTTCTTCCGGATCAAGATTTCTGATGCGCACAACAGCTTGCCAGATATGAGACAAGAGTGCTTGAAGAGAGGAGATTTTGTCTGTTCCATGTTCAGCGTTGGCCTTTGCATTGAGATGTGCTATGTTTTCCCTAGTGAAATGAAAAAGCCTGACTTGCAATGGTGGAGGAATGAATTCATGGATTTGTGTGAGACAAGAGTTCGGAATACCAACAGGGCCCTCAATACCATGTGGAAACCAACGTCAAAGAGATGGGGGCCTGGACAATTCTATGGAACCTTGGAAAATTTCTGCCCAGGAATTGATAAAATGCACAAATGATGTGCCATCAGCCACAACATGATTGTAAGTGCAGCTAATGAAGAGCCCTCTGAAAGCTCAGTCACTTGTACTGCAAGTAAGGGATTGTAAGTAGCCTCATAATTTTTTACTTCATTTAACTGAAAAAATGAGCGAATAAAGGAAGGAACAACCATAGGGCCAATGATATCAGAAATATCTCATTAGTTGCAGCATGAACAAGCAAGACACCAGCATTGTTGCAGTCAATGAAAAACGAAGAGGTTTCATTGTAAACTTCAATGGATGCGAGGCAGCCAACGAGGGGGAAGAAGTAGTTTAATTAGAGTTCGTGAAGGGGTGTTTTTCAATTGGTGGACTAAGGTTTCACCTAACTTTTGATCTTGCTGGAGTTGTGGCCTGTAGTAGAGAAGTCCCTTCGGGGCATAGTCCATGGCAAGGAACATGAGATCCCACGAAGCTAACTCGATTCTTTCAAATTCTGTCTTGGGGTTGGCAGCTTGAACAATGCTAGTGGATATGAATCGAATATCTCCCATGTCTCTCTATATTTTGTTAAGTTTTCCGGTTCTTAGAAATTGAAGCTTCTATTTATAACCAACAATCGCATAATTTATTAGTAAAGTAATAAACTCTTAATTTAAATAATCATAGATAAAATCCTAAACCTCAAATATATATATAAAAAAAGGAGCTTCCTATTTATAATCAAGTTCAACCACAACAACCATTAAAAATGTGCATTTAATTGAAGATAAGTTGTACACAGGTAGCATTTGGATATTTGATTTGATGGTAAAATGCATGTATTTCCAAATAAAGTTATGGTCAATTTCCTTTGCGTCAATAAAAAAATTTTCTATCCAAGAACATGGATGGCCTAATTTTCCTAAAGCAGCCAATTATAAACTTTCAATACTCAAGGCTATGAAGATAAGATGAAGGGAGCCATTAATACGGGTACTTTAAAAAAAGCTCAGTTCAATCTCAATTTTTTTTTTAAATAATACATCTATTAAATCTAAACAAATTGAAATCCATGAATACGGGTGTTTTATTATATATATCCACATTGATTTTTTTTTCCCAATTTCTTTTACTTTAAAATGTTTCTAACTAAGAAAAATTAAGCACAAAAAGGTGAAAGCCATAAGAAAGAAAAAGCATCACGTATAGACATTCATTGTTTTTTATAAAAAAAAAAATCTAATTTTAAAAACAAAAGAAGTGAACAACTTTAAAAAAAAGAAAAAAGGAAGAAAGTTGAGTTTGCATGCAACATCATGAGTTTTTATCAAAAAATTTATGTCATAAATAAAAAAACAAAACTAAAGAAAAAAAAAGGATTGAAAAAAGGAAAAGAAATTAAATTCGGATGTAATGCCAACACATCCCCTAGTATAATTTTCTTTAAAAATTATCAAATTAGAAAAAAAAAGATAAAACATGTATTTTTAATAATAACATCAAATAAACCCATATTAAAAATTCAAAATATTAAAAATTATTTATTAAATATAAAAATTGAACAAAAAAATAAAAATAAAAAAATCAAATAACTTGACATATTGTATACCCTTGATATAAAGTGGGTCTCACAAAAAAATATAAATCTAAAAAATGATTTATCAATTACATAAAAAAAGGGAAAATGTACAAAAAATAAAACATGTGGTCTAGTACCCTTGATGACAAGTGAGTTTTAAAAAAATTAAAACAAAAAATTTTAATTTTTTGAAAAAAAGTTAAAAAAAAGTAGAAAAAAAATTTGGTACAAATGGGTCTCACAAAAAAATCTTTTAAAAAATATATTTTGTGATTTCTTTTTAAAAATTATAAAATATAATAAAATATTAAAAAATTAGAGAAAAATGTGTGGGTCCGACCCAAAAAATTAACCGAAAAAAATGAGTCTCACACATTTAAAAAAAAATAAAAAATAAAAAATGATGGGCCCTAAAAAAATGTAAAAAAATTAATGTCATGTGTCATAACGGTTTTGAGACCGCCAGACGTAAAAGATGAGATGTTTTAAAAATTGAGAAAAATAAAAGAAAGAGTCGCCACCAATCTTTGTTAGGGTGTGATTGGCCACCCAAAAGGTTATCCTTTTAATAAAACTATAAAAACGGATTTAAAGTTTATCAAAAAGATAAATTTTGATCTACGAAAAATCAGATTGGATCCGAGAGTCGGTTACGCGTGAGGAAGGATTAGCACCCCCACAACGCCCATGAATTGGTACCATTTAATTATGCGCTATTTTCGGTGTTGGATAAAAATAGTTTTAATTTGAAATTTAACACTAATTCCCTTCAAAAAATATTTTTGCTAAAATTTTTATTTAAGAATATTGAGAAAATCTTTAAGTTAAAGAATTATCTTGAAATTCTCCAACATCTAGGCAGAATTTGAAATAACTCTTTTCGCTTAAGATTTAACACAACAATCCTTAAAATGAAATAACCCTCTTTATAGAAAATTGTTGGTGACTCTCCAACATCTAGGCAGAGTACCAAAAATTATTTCTTTTGGAATGTTATTTTTATTTTATTTTGTAATGTTTCAAAAAGATTTTTTTTAGTATTATTTTTTTATTAAAAAAATTTTATCAGTAAATTAAAGAGAGAGTAATGCAATCAATTATTGATGATAACATACTAACGTATATCATGCTAATAAATGTCATGTTAAATGAAATGCAATTTAAGAGTTGGATTCTTAAATATAATGAGACCACCCCGACTCTCCAACATCTAGGCAGAGTTTAGGTGCGACTGTTTATATTTAAGATTCCAATTTTATTATACTTTTTATTTATTAATCTTATTATTAATACGAATTAAGAAATCGTGTGAAAAGATTTTACGAAGTAAAATTTCCTAAATACCCCATCATCTAGGCGGTATTCGGGAACAAATTGCTTCAAATAGAATTTTCACACGTGTCCGTAGGATTTTTTTTTTTGGGACTTTGGATTTCAAGGATTTTGGATGTTTAGGGTTTTAGAAACCTAGGATTAAGAAATAGTGCTTAAGGTTTCGTTTTTAAGAAAATACGAACATCTCTAAAAATCTTCAACATCTAAGCGGATTTTTGAAGCAAGTTCGATTTTAATAATTTTTGAAAATTAATTAAAAAATTTTTATGTTTATTTATTATTAACAATAATTCCCCAACATCTAGGCGGAATTATTGTTTTAGAAAAATATTTTTATTCCCTCCAACATCTAGGCAGGGAAAATTATTATTATTATTTTAAAGTATTTTAATATATTTTTAATTATTATTTGTTTTTTATTTTATTATTATTAAAACGATTAAACATTCATTCTAACAAATTTATAAATTTATTATGCATAAATATAAAAATATATTTAAAATAACAAAAATAATAATAAAAAATTAAGAAAAAATTTTTTTTACCTGAACCGGACCGGTCAATGCTGGTCCGGACGGTCTGACTGGTTCAGCGGTTGGATCGGCGGTTCGAGCGATCTGACCGGTTCGACCATCGGATCAACGGTCCGGGTGATCTGACCGATTCAGTCCGGTCCACTGGCGGTTCGTATGAATCGGTTCAAGGCTGGCTGGAACGGGTCGTTGGGTCGGGTTGTGCGGATCTCGGGTCGAGTTCGGGTCAACCCGCGGATCCTTCTTTGGTTAAAATGGCGTCGTTTTGGGTTTTATTGAAACGACGTCGTTTTGGCTATTGATAATTTATATGAAAGTCAAAAATATTTTTTTTTCATCATTTTTTTTATCTTCAGAAAAAAAAATAGCCCCTTTTTTTTTCTTCTCTCTTCTTCTTCAGCTGTACGTTGGCCGACCGTCGGTGCTGCCGCCGCTCACCGGTCTCTGACTGTCATCTCCGGTGGTCAAAAAAACCCCAAAATTCTCCCACAAACTCTTCTTGACACCCTGAGCACAGATCTGACCTCCTTTTCACCAAAAACGGCCTTGATTCGCGTAAATCGGGTTTTAAAGTTTTTGGTTTTTCTTCTCTCTTTTTTTTTCGGTGAAACTGATGATTTCTTGGCTTTTGTAGGTGGCTCGGCGCTGAGGTTCCTCGCCGTGGGGAGGACTATGTTGTTTTTTTTTTTGTTTTGTGTAGATTTGTTTTTGGTTTGGGTGCTTTGGGGGGTTACGTGAAACTGCATTTTTTTAGGCATAAGAATGGGGGTCTGTTTGGGGTTAAATAGGGATTCCAAAGGGAGATTGAAGGGGATTTCAGCCAGCTCCTTCTCTCCCTTGAAGGGGAAATGGCTGGAGATTTTTAAAGGCTTCAATTAGGAGGATCTAGGTGGCTGTAGGGTAATTGGTTGGTGGCTGTAGGGTGGCTGGTCAGGAGGCTGGTTGGGAGGCTGGTCGGGGGCTGGCAACAGCGGCGCCGTACCAACTCTCTGACTTCTGTCTAATTCTCGTTTTGTTTTTTTGTTTGTTTTGTTTTTTTTTGTTTTTTTTATTTTTTTTTATTTTTTGTTTGTTTTGTTAAATATTATTATTATTAAAAAAATAAAACAGTAGACCCGGACAAAATTGGTGTCTACAGCTGCCCCTCTTTGCACATTACTGAGAATCAGTAATAGGGCAAAGACAAAGATAACGATTTTGTCCGAAAATAAATCGTGATATTTTTTTGGTTTTACAGAAAAGGGTTCCTCTTAACAGAGTTTCAATCAATATTTTTGAAAGTTTAAAAGGCTCTTTTTAACAGAGGCTCATCAACTTTAAAAATTTTCATCTAGAAAAAGCTCCTCTCAACAGAGGCTCCACAACTTTAAAAATCTCATCTTGGAAAAGCTCCTCTCAGCAGAGGCTCCACAACTTTAAAATTCTTATCTTGGAAAAGCCCCTCTCAGCAGAGGCTCAACAACTTTAAAATCTCATCTGAAAAAGTTTCTCTCAACAGAGGCTCCACAACTTTAAAATCTCATCTTAGAAAAGCTCCTCTCAGCAGAAGCTCAACAACTTTAAAATCTCATCTAGAAAAGCTCCTCTCAACAGAGGCTCCACAACTTTAAAATTCTCATCTTGGAAAAGCTCCTCCCAGCAGAGACTCAACAACTTTAAAATCTCATCTGGAAAAGCTCCTCTCAACAGAGGCTCCACAACTTTAAAATCTTATCTTGAAAAAGCTCTTTTCAGCAGAGGCTCAACAACTTTAAAATCTCATCTGGAAAAGCTCCTCTCAACAGAGGCTCCACAACTTTAAAATTCTCATCTTGGAAAAGCTCCTCTCAGCAGAGGCTCCACAACTTTAAAATCTCATCTTGGAAAAGCTCCTCTCAACAGAGGCTTCACAACTTTAAAAAAGCTCCTCTCAACAGAGGCTTCACAACTTTAAAAAAGCTCCTCTCAACAGAGGCTTCACAACTTCTTCACAACTTTAAAATCTCATCTTCGAAAAGCTCCTCTCAGCAGAGGCTCAACAACTTTAAAATCTCATCTGAAAAAGCTCCTCTCAACAGAGGCTCCACAACTTTAAAATCTCATCTTGGAAAAGCTCCTCTCAACAGAGTCTCCACAACTTTAAAATTTTCATCTTGTTTTCAAATTTGAGTTCTCATCTTTGAACAATTAAATTTCCTCTTATGAATTCTTTTGTTTGATCATTGTCTTTACCAAAATCTTGTTTTTCATTAAGAAATGGAAAATTTCTATCTTTGTTACAACTTATCATGAATGCATGTACTGAGTGCTCATAATGCAATGCATGTAATGCAATCAAAATCATTCATTGTAGTAAAAAAGTTCTCGAAATCTCTTGCTTTCGACTTCTTTTATCCGAATTCTTATATGACCAATCTGTTCTCAACATCTGACCACAATATTTTGTTTTTTTCAAAAGTCTGCAACATCAATGTCTTGCCATGCTTTTTTCATCCTTTTTCATTTGCCTTTGTCAACTTTAAAAGTAATGCTGAGATCTTTCATGTTTGTTTTTCTTTTTATCATTTTAAGTTCAAGACAAATAAAATGCAATCACATTTCTCTGATGGACAAAAAAAAAATCAGATAAGGATAAAGGAAAGGATAGGCATTATTTTCAAAGGAAGGATAATGTATTTCCTATGGCTGATAACAAGTGTATGTCAAAGTGTTTAAGTTGAAATAAAGGTGTCAAAAGAATGATCACAAGATAATCATGAACAAAATATTCTCAGATTCTTTCTCTAAAACTAAATCAGATGACTTTCTTGATTATTCAGAGTTCATCAAACTACACTTGCCCCTGCATTGTGGGATCTTTTCTTGATGATGCTTTTGCTTCACATCTAAGTCGTCTTTTCAGGTTTTCAACTTAGATAAGTAATCATCTTTTTCTCTCTTTTTTTTAAGCAAAATATTTCTTCACAACATCTGAATTTATTGGGGTAGGTAAATCACTTCCGTCCATTTCTGCTAAAATCAATGCCCCGTCAGAAAAGGCCTTTTTCACCACATACGGGCCTTCCCAATTTGGTGTCCATTTCTTCTGATTATCATGTTGATTTGGAAGGAATCTTTTTAGCACTAAGTCTCCTTCCCTAAAGCAACGGGGATGAGTTTTCTTGTCATGTGATCTCATCATCCTCTTTTGATATAATTGACCATGACAAAGTGCTGACAATCTTTTCTCTTCAATAAGGTTTAACTGCTCATAGCGATTTCAAACCCATTCTGCTTCCTCTAACTTTACCTCCGTCAAGACTCTCAGTGAGGGAATTTTCACTTCGACTGGTAGCACAGCTTCCATTCCATATACCAAAGAGAACGGTGTGGCTCCAGTAGACGTTATGACTGATGTTCTATAAGCATGCAAGGCAAAAGGTAACTTCTCATGCCAATCTTTGTAAGTTTCAATCATTTTTTTCAGGATTCTCTTGATATTTTTATTCGCAGCCTCCACTACCCCATTCATTTTCGGACGATATGGTGCCGAATTATGATAGCGGATCTTGAACTGAGTGCATACTTCATTCATCATTTTATTGTTCAAGTTTTTGGTATTATCAGAAATAATTGTCTCCGGAAGTCCATATCTACATATTATCTCTCTTTTCATGAACTTACATACCACAGATCGAGTCACGCTAGCATATGATGCAGCTTCTACCCATTTGGTGAAGTAATCAATCATTACAAAAATGAATCTATGCCCATTCGAAGCTTTTGGAGTGATGGGACCAATGACATCCATGCCCTACATAGAGAATGGCCATGGAGGAGCTAGAACGTGTAATGTTGATGGCGGAGCATGAATCTTGTTAGCATAAATCTGACATTTATGACATCTCCTAGCATAATCAATACAGTCGCCCTCTATTGTCAACCAATAATAGCCAGCCCTCATAATTTGTCTAGCCATCATATGACCATTTGCATTTGCATGTGCTCCACAAACTCCATCATGCACTTTTTCAATAATCTTTTTTGCTTCAGCTGTATTTACACATCTTAAGAGGACTTGATCTCGACCTTTTTTGTAAATGATATCTCCATCAATGAAGAAACTCATAGCCAATCTTCTGATAGTCGTCTTATAATTTTCTATTGCATGTTCTGGGTATTGCTGGCTTTTAATGTATTGCATGATATCATGATACCATGGCCTTCCATTAATTTCTTTTTCAACACTTGAGCAATATGCTGGTACATCTTTCACATCCAACTTGATGGGTTAGATTTCAGTATTTGCATCTATTTTGATCATTACAGCTAGAGTAGCCAGTGCATCAGCAATTTGGTTTTCCTCTCTAGGTAGATGCTCAAACTGAACTTCTTTAAATTGTTTAACCAACTCAGAGATGTATTTATGGTACCGAATCAACTTAAAGTCTCTTGTTTCCCATTCACCTCGTAACTGATAGATGACTAGAGCTGAATCTCCAAACACGTTTAACACTTTGATCTTCTTTTCAATTGCTGCTTGTAGACCTATAACACAGGCCTCGTATTCAGCCACATTGTTTGTGCAATTAAAATTTAATCTGGCTGTGATTGGGTAATAATGTCCATTAGGAGATATCAAAATTGCCCCAATACCATGACCCAAAGCATTAGCAGCTCCATCAAAATACATCCTCCATGATTTTTTAATAGGTTTATTTTCTTCAATGGCCATCACATCCTCATCGAAAAAATCTAATTTCATTGGCTCATAATCTTCAATTGCACGATCGACGAGGAATTCAGCTATTGCACTCCCTTTAATAGCCTTTTGAGTCACATAAATGATATCATATTCTGAAAGCATAACTTGCCATCGTGCTATTCTTCCTGTCAATGAGGGCTTTTCGAAGATATACTTAATAGGATCCAGCTTTGCTATGAGCTAAGTAGTGTGATAAAGCATGTATTGTCTAAGCCTTCGAGCTGTCCAGGTTAATGCACAACACATCTTCACTAATGGTGAATACTTTGACCTATAATCAGTGAACTTCTTACTCAAGTAGTAAATTGCTCGATCTTTCTTATCAGTTTCATCTCTTTGCCCCAGCACACATCCCATTGAATTTTCATGCACTGTCAAGTACAAAATCAAAGGTTTTCCTGGCATTGGTGGCACCAACACAGGTGGATTTGACAAGTATTCTTTGATTTTATCAAAAGCTTCTTGGCATTCGTCATTCTATTTTCCAGGATCATGTTTTCTGAAAAGCTTGAAAATAGGATCACACTTATAAGTGAGTTGAGAGATGAAGCGAGCAATATAATTTAATCTCCCTAAGAAGCCTCGCACTTTTTTTGAGGTATGATGAGGAGATAAGTTTTGGATGACTTGTATCTTAACTGGATCAACTTCAATTCTTTTTTCACTGACTACAAAGCCCAATAGTTTTTCTGACTTGGCTCCAAATGTACATTTGATAGGATTCAACTTCAACTGAAATCTTTTCAAATTGTCGAACAGCTTTTTAAGATTGACTATATGATCCTCTCCTTCACAAGTTTTTACGATCATATCATCCACATACACTTCTATCTCTTTATGCATCATATTATGAAAAAGAGTCACCATTGCTCTTTGATAAGTGGCACTAGCATTTTTTAACCCAAAAGGCATAACTTTGTAACAGAATGTTCCCCACATGGTCACAAATGTGGTTTTCTCCATATCATCTCGAGCCATCTTGATCTAATTATAGCCTGAGAAACCATCCATAAAAGAAAATGTGGAATGCCTCGCAGTATTATCCACTAGAGTATCGATATGAGGTAAAAGAAAGTTATCCTTGGGGCTTACTCTATTCAAATCTCGATAATCGACACACATTCTCACTTTTCCATCCTTCTTAGGAATTGGCATTATGTTGGCTACCCATTCAGGATATTTTGCCACTTCCAAAAATCCAGCATCGAATTGTTTCTTCACTTCCTCTTTAATTTTCAGCAGCATCTCTGGTTTCATGCGCCTTAGCTTTTGCTGCATCGGCTTACATCCTGGTTTTAAAAGTAACTTGTGCTCTACAATATCAGTGCTGAGTCCTGGCATATCCTGGTAAGTTCACGCGAACACATCTACATATTTTCGGAGCAGCTCTTTTAGCTTCTATCTTTCAGTTGGTAAAAGAGATATACCAACTTTAACCTCTCTTTTATTCTCACCATCTTCTAAATTTACTGATTCAGTAATTTTTTAGTGGGGTTCAATTGGCTTATCTTCATGTTCTATTAATTTTAACAAATTAAGAGGCAATGTGTAGTTATCTGAATCTTCCTCGTTATCAAGTTCATCAACATGAATTAAGTTTTCAAAATCAAATCCGAGATTAATGCCATGATTATCTTCATGTTCATTGTTTGAGACCCTGCAAAAGGGTAATATGAAGAGAATATTGGCACACAAAAATGGAATGGCAAGAAAATGTAGGAAAGAAAATGATGAAAGGTAAAATGAAGATAAAAACAACAGAAAAAATACGGATGCATCTTCTAAGTCTTTTATTAAAATGACAAACATAAACACACCATAAAAGATCTCTTAATACTCGTAGAAAGTAATTAGGGATTTAAAGTTTCACATTACTTTTCCAAAGTTTTAAAAACAACAGGCAGCTCTGTAACTTTCCAATTATCCAGCTCAAAATCTAAAGGACAAGGGTACATGAATAGGTCTTCACTTCGACTCTTTTTTTCTTCATCATCCACCATTTGAATGGCTAGCTCTGAAAATTTTTCCATAAATCCTACACTTGGGGCTTCCGGTAAATCCGGATAAATGTATCCTCCCGAGTGAAAAGAATTATAGAGGTATGGAATGACTATGGGCTCTGACTCTAGCTCATATCCCTTAAGATTAGCTATCCTCTTATTTCTTTTCTCATTCACCATTCTTGTTCTGTCCCCTCTTGTTGGCTTATATCCCAAGCCAAACCTGTCTCTCTTTTCATACATAGTCGATGGCTTCGTGATTCATTGCAGGTTCTTTTCAAGTTCGGCTTCAGGTCTTCATCCCATCTTGGTAAGCTGTTTGACTACCATTTAGTAGTCGTAGATAAGTGTGGCGAACACAATTTAGATCTTTCAGCTATATATGTTGCATTGGCAATCTCGAAGGATCTATAAGAGCATTCTAAAGCTTCATATGTCGATTTCACATAAAGAGTATTTATCGGTTGAGTTACCAATAAATCTTCTTCTCCTGCCATACATGTTAGCTTCCCTTTAACAATGAATTTGACTTTTTGATGTAATGAAGATGGGACAGCACCTGCCATATGGATCTACGGCCTACCCAATAAACAATTGTATGAAGTAGAGATGTCCATAACTTGAAATTTCATATTGAAAATGCATGGGCCAATCTGTAATGGCACTTCTATATCTCTCAGCACTTCTCTTCTAGTTCCATCAAAGGCTCTCACTATCATATGACTAGGTTTCATATAAGATCCATCAACAGGGAGTTTTGCCAGAGTAGTTACAGGCATAACATTGATGGATGAACCATTATCAATCAAAATCTTAGCCATTATATGACTTTTACATTTCACAGTAATGTGAAGAGCCTTGGTACTTCCTCTACCTTCAGGGAGAATCTCTTCATCACTGAAAGAGATATAGTTTGAAATCGTCAGATTGCCAACAAGCTGTTCCACATATTCAACAGAAGTAATGTGAGACATATATGCTTGATTTAACACCTTCTGCAAAGCATTACGGTGTGACTCCAAACTGAGTAATAATGACAATAGCGAAATTTTAGTTGGCATCTTGTTAAGCTGTTCTACCACGCTATACTCACTATGTTTTATTAACTTCAAAAATTCACCTGCTTCACTCTCAGATACTGGCTTATGACGTTCTTTTTCTGGGGTTACGTCAAGACCACTATGACTTTCATTTTCTTATCCTACCTTGGCTTTCTCCTTTTTAGCTTTTTCTAGAGCCTCTGGGGTATAGCACCTGCCACTTCTAGTTATACCTCCTACACCCATTATGTTGGCAGTATCTGGGTTGACTACGACATCATAATCATACTTCCAAGGTACTGCTTTATCATTCTGATATGAAAAAGGGCCAGAAACTTTAATTGTCACTACTGGTCGAGAGACGGGCTTTTCTAGCTTTGATGTTGGCTTTTCATCATAATAGATAGTTACCGGTCTACGCCCAAACTTATTCTTTGAATCAATGGTAGACACTTCAACTTTCACCAACTCTTTTTTCTCTTGGTAAAACTTCATTCGACCTTCATCCATCAATTTTTGCACCTCTTGATGGAATTGGTGACAATTCTTGATAGAATGCCCTATAACACCTCTATGATAATTGCAGCTTTCAGTTGAGTTAATTACTTTAGAGCAATTTTGAGGTTCTATTGGCTTCAACATGTCAGCTTTGACCAGGGCTTCAAACACTTTAGCCATAGGAGTTTTGACCTATTCTATTCTTCTTTTTATATAGCTTGTTTGCCCATCAACCAAAGCATTTATTGATGGTCTAGTATGATTTGATAGAGGGTTTCCATTGACATTTGGAGTTTCTTGTTGGCTGGTATCAAAATTTAATACTCCTTCATTGATTAATCCTTGCACTTTACGCTTCAAAGCAGTACAATGCTCAATGGAATGACCTGGATTCCTATAATGATAATCACAATGTGCATTGGGGTCATACCATTTGGGAAACGGAGGTTTCAAGGGTTTAATGATAATAGGAACAACTAGATGTTTCTCAATAAGTCGAGGATACAAATCTGTGTATGTCATGGGAATGGGATCAAAATGAGGTCTTTCCCGATTGTTATTATTCTGTGAGTTTCTTTGATTGCTATTTGGGTAGGTTGGTCGAGTAAATGGTCGAGCTGAAGGTGCAAGGGTGTAATTGGATGGTTGAAGGCTAAAACTTGATCTGGGTAGTGGTTGTTGGGGTCCCCGGTAATGGTATGGTTGTTGAGAGATTTGGTTTGTGGTAGGGTAGTAATGGGGGTATGGGTTATACGAAACAAAAGGATGGTGTGAAGGATTTGTGTGAGTGACAACATGTGTCTCCTGCTCTTTCTTCCTTAAGGTAGCTGTCTTCTTTTTAGACCCTTCAATTTTACCACTTTTGATAATATTCTCTATCATCTCCCCTGAAATTACCATGTCAGAGAAGTTTTTCGTGGTATTTCCCACCAATCTGTCATAATACGGGGCCTTCAGTGTATTGACGAATAGCACAGTTATCTCTTTTTCAGTCAGTGGCGGTTGGACTTGGGCTGCTGCATCTTTCCATCGATGTGCGTATTCTTTAAAGGTTTTCGTCAATTTTTTCTCCATATTTTGTAATGACAATCTATCAGGGGCTGTATCCAAGACATGCTTATACTAAGCAAGAAAAACTTTGGCCAAGTCTTTCCATGAACGGGTCTTGCTTCGATCTAACTGCATGTACTATTTAGCTGCTGAACCAGTCAAACTATCATGAAAACAATGTATCAATAGTTTGTCATTATGGGTATGACCCATCATCTTTCTACAAAACATGGTGATATGAGCAGATGGACACTTTGTCCCATCATATTTCTCAAAATTTGAGGTCTTAAATTTTGGTGGGATAACCAAGTCAGGCACTAGGCTGAGTTCATTGGCGTCAATAACCCCATAAGTGTCATTACCTTCAACCGCTTTAAGCCTCTCTTCAAGTCGATCATACTTGTCTTAAATTTTTGAATTTATAACAGGTTCTGACATTTCATGAGACTTCTCTTACTCAACAGGGTCGTCAAGATTTGGTACCATGATGGGATCGACTGGGATGAGTCTTGAATTGGCATTCAAGTGGGTTAATTACTGATTTACAGAATGATTGACATAGGGGTATGGCTGCGCACTTGGTGGTTGTATGTGTATACCCCGAGGAACTTGAACCTGAACTTGAGGTAGAGTGAATCCAGGAGGGTATAATGGCTCTTCCTCATCTCCTGTCCTTGATGCACCAGCAACTCCTTTTCTTTTCATTGATCCAATCAATAGTTATCTTAATTCAGCCATTTGTGCCTCAATTTTTTATTGTATTTCCATCACTTTTTCTTGTATCTCATCTTGTACCCTTTCGACCCTTTCAAATCTAGCTGTATTCTCTTCTTCCATGGCTCGAGTCTAGGAACGAGTATTATATCTATGCGAAATTGACGGGTTGTGGTTCCTTGGCTTTGCTATCCTTGAACCTTAGTTTATTAACCATGAATTAGATCGCATGATATAATGTCGTTGATATTATTGTTAGTATGAAAATGTATTCATGAAATGATTGAAATGCAAATTAGGGTATTGTCTTGGATCGATCGAAACAAAAAGAAACTTTTATTAACCATGGGAGTCTTTACACATCATCCGATCATTCTTGCATTAAAGCCATAAAAACATTTGATTTGAGCATATTGCTCCCTAGCTTCATGCAAAAAGTGCAATAACTTTGACTGTGGCCTTGGGTTGGTACAATCTCTCATTCCAGTGCTTCCGCCTTTTCAACCATGTTGCTTGCTTTTCGGATAGCCTTGTAGATTTGAGCGGTCAGGTGTTCGATGTATTACTGCCTCCTTAAACTTTTCGCTCTCCACATCTCTCGAGCATCTACCTCCATATTGCAAGTGTGAGCCCAATAATCTTCTCTATCTTACCATTCAGTCAAAATCTCGTTTATGTGCCTCTGATTACTTGTTAATTGAAGCTCCAAACTCATTAATTCATGCTCTAAGGCTTTTTTCTTACTTTGCAAATCGGAGTTCTTGCTTTGTTCCCTTCTTAGTTCAGCTTTTAGCTTTTCACTTTCTCTTTGATGCCTTGCTACATTTTCAGAGGCTCCTGAAAGTTTTTCTTTCCATTCATGTTGCTCTTTGGTGAGTGTGGAGATTATTTTTTTGTTCTCTCGAGCTCTGTTCTTCCAATATTCCACCATGTCCCGTAGTTCTTCCACGTCCTTCTTGGATCCCTTCAAAGGTCTACTATCTAACCTTAATTTCTTATTTTCTTGATGCAAATCTTACAGATCCTCTTTCAATACTTTTCATTCTTTAGTCAACTTCTGTACTGCATCATTTTTTATCATCAAATCATATCTTAGTTGGTTAACCTGATCCATCATAACCACCTTTTCTTTCTCTAACCTTTTCTTTTCAACCTCAAACTCTCGTTGAGCGATCTCAAGAGTAGACAATACCGGTACTGAAACAGGAGGCGACAATTTTTCTGAAATATCAGCTGGTAGAGGCCTAATTTCGTTAACCCTTTTCATCCTCCACACAAGGTAACCTTCAGCAACATTATCTGCAAGTCTAGCTGGGCTCATTCGGTTGACCTGCTTTCATGCTTTGATGATTTCATGAATCTTTTTCATATAACCGAGTGTTCCATAATCAAACTCGAGTGAACCAAGCCTATGAGTCATAGGGATGAACTGTCGTGAATCATATTGTCTTTGAACCATAAGGGGCACGTAACTCATTGCCCCCCATATTCCTAACAGAGGTACCCAGGACTCGTCTCCATAACTATATAAGATAGCCGTCGGAAGCATCCATGGTGCCCTCAATGTTACATCTTCGTTAGTGAGCTTTAAAAAGAATGCCAACCACTGACCTTTTGTCCAATCTTTTCTCCATTCTTTAGTCATAAACTCCTTGATAGGACTGAAATGCACGGAGAATGGTCGAAATGATGTCTTCTCTTTTCCTAAAAAATGGCTTCTGAGCCAGACAAACAGTAACTGAGCACACCCCATAAATCGTCCTTCACCCTTTTTTCGATAAAAATTAAGTGATATAATAGTTTCTGCCAAAATAGTTGGTGAAGGGTTTATACCTTTATCTAATTGCTCAAAGAAATCAACCACTGATGCTTCTATATGTCCTAAAACCTTAGGGAATATCATCAATCCATAGATGGCCAAAGCAAACACATCCAACCCCTGATCGGTATTAATATACTTTCTTATGTACTCGAGCAGAAAAGCTGATGGAATGATGTCAACCCTATTTTTTTCTTTCTTGTGCTTGTCTATCTCTTCAACCTCCACTTGCATGATCTTGGCTAATTTTTTTCTATATCCGGTGGTCTTATGCTCTTTCCAATAGATCTTGTCTTGATTGGTAGACTCTATCCGGAGTAAAGAAGAATATTCTTCGATCGTGGGAGCCAAATCTTCTTGGTTGAATACAAAGCATCGATAAGATGGATCCCAAAACTGTATTGCAGCTCTCATTAGCTGTTTGTCAACCTTCACAGACATAAGCAGTGTCACATCCCCGTATTTCTTGAAAAAAGATTCTTTTTGTTTTGTTCTCCACTGTTTCCAAATGGCTTCCAGTTCTGATATATTATTCTGACTGAGATCTATATGCACTGACTGTGGTAGCACCGATATGTGACCATCTACTAAGCAATCTCTTTCTTGCCTCTGAGTACCTTCTGAATGGCTCTTAACCTCTAAGTAGCACTTACACACAGATGACATCCTTTAGGTTTTTTGAAAGTTTTTTTTTTTAGATTGGTCCAAAACAATACCCTTTTAAAAAGATGGTACCTATATGATGCATGCAACAAAAATTGAAGACAATAAAACAAATCAATAATGTAAATAAAACAAATAAATAAAACTGAGTAAGCATAATAGAATATACATAGTGTCCTAATTTAGGTAATCTTTTCGCAAAAGGGACAGTATGGCTCTATCCTAAAGTTGGACTTTACGGCTCATTATATGCTGGGTTAAGATTTGCATGTCTAAAGGTTCCCAGACTATTCCTCACATCATCGTCCATTATAGACTAGTAAGGCTCCCCGATCCTCACCCATTACAGGCTACTAACGGAATGGGTTCAATCTGGGTGGAAGTGTTTTGCTAGCAAATACAGAGATTATCACCTCACGAGAGCGTAGCTACTTCATTTCCTCCTAAAAGGGATAGAGATTGGGTTTAGAGCTCATGCATGAATATGTAGAGTGTGTGCAAAATAACGTATTAATTAAAATATCATAAACACAAACTTAAAATAAAATGACAACCAACATATATTTTTGAAAAATCAAAATAAAGGAGATTAAATGAAATGTCAAATAAAACCAATTAAATCCAACGATTCTTAATGGCGCATAATTAAAAGTTTTAGCTTAACTCTCAAAAATGTCCCTAGGGGAGTCGCCAAGCTGTCATAAAGGTTTTGGGACCGCCAGACGTAAAAGACGAGATGTTTTAAAAATCGAGAAAAATAAAAAAAAGAGTCGCCACCAATCTTTGTTAGGGTGTGATTGGCCACCCAAAAGGTTATCCTTTTAATAAAACTATAAAAACGGATTTAAAGTTTATCAAAAAGATAAATTTTGATCTACAAAAATTAGATTGGGTCCGGGAGTCGGTTACGCGTGGGGAAGGATTAGCACCCCCACAACGCCCATGAATTGGTACCATTTAATTACGTGTTATTTTCGGTGTTGGATAAAAATAGTTTTAATTTGAAATTTAACACTAATTCCCTTTAAAAAATATTTTTGCTAAAATTTTTATTTAGGAATATTGAGAAAATCTTTAAGTTAAAGAATTATCTTGAAATTCTCCAACATCTAGGCAGAATTTGAAATAACTCTTTTCACTTAAGATTTAACACAACAATCCTTAAAATGAAATAACCCTCTTTATAGAAAATTGTTGGTGACTCTCCAACATCTAGGCAGAGTACCAAGAATTATTTCTTTTGGAATGTTATTTTTATTTTATTTTGTAATGTTTCAAAAAGATTTTTTTTAGTATTATTTTTTTATTAAAAAAATATTTTATCAATGAATTAAAGAGAGAGTAATGCAATCAATTATTGATGATAACATGCTAACGTATATCATGCTAATAAATGTCATGTTAAATGAAATGCAATTTAAGAGTTGGATTCTTAAATATAATGAGACCACCCCGACTCTCCAACATCTAGGCAGAGTTTAGGTGCGACTGTTTATATTTAAGATTTCAATTTTATTATACTTTTTATTTATTAATCTTATTATTAATACGAATTAAGAAATCATGTGAAAAGACTTCACGAAGTAAAATTTCCTAAATACCCCATCATCTAGGCGGCATTCAGGAACAAATTGCTTCAAATAAATTTTCACACGTGTCCTTAGGATTTTTTTTTTGGGACTTTGGATTTCAAGGATTTTGGATTTTTAGGGGTTTTAGAAACCTAGGATTAAGAAATAGTGCTTAAGGTTTCGTTTTTAAGAAAATACGAACATCTCTAAAAATCTCCAACATCTAGGCGGATTTTTGAAGCAAGTTCGATTTTAATAATTTTTGAAAATTAATTAAAAATTTTATGTTTATTTATTATTAACAATAATTCCCCAACATCTAGGCGGAATTATTGTTTTAGAAAAAATATTTTTATTCCTTCCAACATCTAGGCAGGGGAAAATTATTATTATTTTTTAAGTATTTTTAATATATTTTAATTATTATTTGTTTTTATTTTATTATTATTAAAACGATTAAACATTCATTTAACAAATTTATAAATTTATTATGCATAAATATAAAATATATTTAAAATAACAAAAATAATAATAAAAATTAAAAAAAAAATTTTTACCTGAACCGGACCGATCAACGCTGGTCCGGACGGTCTGACCGGTTCAGCGGTTGGATCGGCGGTTCGGGCGATCTGACCGGTTCGACGTCGGATCAACGGTCCGGACGATCTAACTGGTTCAGTCCGTCCACTAGCGGTTCGTATGAACCGATTCAAGGCTGGCTGGAACGGGTCGTTAGGTCGGGTTGTGCGGATCTCGAGTCGGGTTCGGGTCAACGCGCGGATCCTTCTTTGGTTAAAACAGCGTCGTTTTGGGTTTTATTGAAACGACGTCGTTTTGGCTATTGATAATTTATATAAAAATCAAAATATTTTTTTCATCATTTTTTCGATCTTCAGAAAAAAAAATAACCCCTTTTTTTTTCTTCTCTCTTCTTCTTC